GGTTGGGACAAAATGAGGGGTTCAGTGTGCAGGACAGGGCTGCCAGTGAAAGGGGTGAGGGGCAGGATCTGGACAGGTTGTGGAGTGCAGGAGGTGGTCAGGGTACATACAGTGTCTGGGTGGGAGGTAGGGTGCAGTAGCAGGTTGGGAGTAGAGTGTCTGGCTAGGGAGGAGCAAGACCAAGGGAAGGTGCAGTTTGTGGCCAGGAAGGAGGGTGCAGGAGCAAGGGAGGATGCAGGAGCGGGCTGGGGGTAGGGTGTCTAGCCAGGAGGGAGGGGGCAGGAGCAGGCTGGAGGTAGGTGTCTTGCCAGTGGGGAGAGTGCAGGAGCAGTTTGCGGGTAGGTTAGTGGGGAGGTGAAGGAGCACAAGGGAGGATAGAGGAGTGGGCTGGGGTAGGGATGTTAAATATTGGTCAATTGAATAGTCCACTAACCTCATGAATTCTTATAGGTTACTTGACTATTCTGTAATCTGTGGGGGAGAAGCCAGCAGCCAGCCGAGGAGCTCCCTGCCACTCCATTCTGCTGCCTCTAATACAGAGGCAGCAGTGTGGGGTGTAAGCTGGGAGCTGGTCCTTGAGGGGAGCCAGTTTAAAACCCAGAGGGGAAAGGGGGGACTCTGAGCTCCCTGGCACGAGTTGGAACTGAACTGGGCTGCCTGCCTCCTAATACACTTTAAAGGCAGAGCTGCAGCAGGGTTGGGTCCCAGACCTGACAAGCTAGGACTGAGCCAGGCTGCTGGCCAGCCTGCTAAAAAATTTACTGGTGTGGTGGGGGAGGGCTGGGAAATGCGTGTAGTCTGTAACATTAATCGATAAGCTTTTGCTTGCCATTTACTTGGTTAATCGACTACACTATTACATCCCTAGACTGGGGGTAGGTTTCTGGCCAGGGGCAGGTGGCCACAGTAGGCTGGGGTTACAGGGTCTTAGTGGGGGGTGCAAGTGGAAGCCAGTGCCCTTGGCCTTCCTCCCCACCCCTGTGCAGTTGGCGCAAGGCTGGAGTGCCAGTGCAGCTCCCTGCTGCCGGGGAAAAGTAGTTCTGAGCTCGAGCTGCTGACTACCTGGGAGGTGTCCACGGACATGTAGTTTGAGAACCACTGAGCTAGACCATACCTGACAGGTGTTTGTCTAACCTGCTCTTAAAAATTCCCAGTGAGAGATTTCACAACCTCCCTAGGCAATTTATTCCAGTACTTCATCAGTTAATATAGTTAATAACCTAGTGGCTAATTGCTGTTTAAATAAGCTTTCATTTGGATCAGTTCTGCTTTTCTCTCATATATGGGCTAGCAACAGGTCGACCTATTCCTGTCTCCTCCCCTCCAGCCAGACACTTACCCCCAACCTACGGATGTAATAGTGTGGTCCAAGATTCAGGAGTTGTCCCTTGTGATATACTTCTATGCCTGGTAGCATCTAGTACTCCCTATGCCTACTCTTTCTAGGAGGGAACGATATCCAGTAACAATGTTGGCCTGTCATTCTTCTCCATACTCGCTCAGAGCCTGGAAAATCCACATGAAATTGTTCCTCTTTGCATCAATTCGCCAAGCTTCCTTGCGTATCAAAAGGAAGGCTAAAGCCAGATCTCACTTGTGTAGTTTCCCCTAGAGTAGCTCTATATTATATATATTAAAAAAAAAAAGACAACAGTCTCGAAGCCTGGATCAGCTGAGTCAGGCTCCTGGGGATTGTGCAATAGGACAAAAAACAGCAGTGTAGATGTTCTCGCTTAGGCTGGGGCCTGGGCTCTGAAACCCAGCAAAGGCGGGGCGGGTCTCAGATCCCAGGACCCAGCTCAAGTTGAAACACCATATCCATACTGCTATTTTTAGCACAAAGCATGAGCTGACTCAGTTGACCCAAGACTTGCTACCGCAACGTGAGTTTTGGTATAGACATACCCTTAGTGAGCCAGAGAGCTGAAATTACAGCATGAGTAGCCTCATCTGCTCTCAGGCCCCCTTCATCTGACACTGTCTTGGTGTTTCTGTCCTTCAACAGGCAGAATGGAACACTTTTCCACAGATTAGCCAAGACAGAGTTTACCATCTCTGGCACCTAGCAATCTGAGACACAAGAGTCATCAGACACCATTTATCTTAAGAGCAATCATCTAAGGGCCAGAAGCCT